TTTTAAAAAAAAAATGTCTTACTTGTCTATTTACATTCTTTGAATTCTTATCTTTGATAAATGTTATAGACATAAATATTTATTCTAATAATTATTTAGATAATAGAAATAAATAGAAATAGATAAAAGTAGATTAATTTGATGATATCTTGTAGAGGAGCTTTTTAGAAGCTTCATAGACTCACTTTCACCTTTATACATGTCTATAGGTAATTGGTAGATTAAACACTTAGCCAACAAGTTAGACATGTATCACATGAGTTAATAGCTTGTAATACAAGTTAATTACATAGCACACATATAGGAAACTTGCCTTGTAAGTTAAGACACATGTCTCGCAAATTATATTTGTGTCGAAAATCCTATAGAACCTCATTATGTATCTTTTATTTTGTTAGTATATATAAAAGTAAGAATAAAGCCTTTTTTACTTTTATCAATTTATTTCTTGCTTCTAATATAGTTTTAAGAGTTTCTAGTTTTTTTTGTCTTTTGGCAATAACTATTATAGTTTTTTTAAAATATATATATATATATATATATATATATATTATTTCTATTTTTCATATTTCTTTGAAAAAAATCTTACTTGTATATCTAACTTTATCAAGTTTTTGTCCTTAATAATAGCTTATTAAGAATATACTTATAAGATTAGTGCTTTGTCTTTTTTTGATTGAGAGTGGATTATCTCTTTTTCTTGATAAGACATAAGCACAATAGAAGTTATAGATTATTTACTTTTAAAATGATATTATTTTTTTTCTATTGAGTAATCATGGAAAAGCTTCTTAAAATGAAAAGTGAAATGATACAATTATAAGAATTTTTTCAAACTTTCATCTATCAATATATTAATATGCTTAATTTGGACTTCATTAGTATTATTAAAGATTTTTTAGGATTTTATTAGGATTTTATTAAGATTTTTCAAAAATCTAATTAGAATTCAATCAAGATTTATTTAAAATTTATTTAAGGTTTATCTAGAATTTATTAAAAATTTCTTTGGAGAATATTAATAGTTTTTTTAAGATTTGATTAAGATATAGTTAAAAAATTTAAGACTTAAATAGAATTTGTTAAGAATTTTTATTTAGAATTTATTATTATCTGGATAATTATTGGAGTAAATATGGATGTCTATGATATTAAAAACTCTTAGAATTCACTTAAGATTTCATTGTGAATTTTTTAAGATTTTTTCTAAAAAATTAAGATTCTTGTGGATTCAAGATATTAAAAATCATTAGAAGTACTTAAAGATTTAATTAATTCTATGAATTAATTTTTTCTATTTTTTAAAAAATTACTAAGTTATATATTAATAATTCTATAAATTATGAAGTATTGATAAAATTTAAATCATCTTCAAGTTTTAAATCCATTTTTTAGTTTAGAGTTCTAGAAACTATACAGCCTCTTCTACATGTGCCTAGACAAGATGTCTAAATTAATAATTTCATTACTCCTTGTATCTATATTATTAAAAAATTATACTTAAATTCCATAAACAAAATAAAATTAAATAATGAAGTATGTTATTGAAAATATTAGAAGCGTCCACTACAAATCAATATTGATATTTTTATTGGAGCCTTATGTGTAAATTAATAATTTTATTTTTATTTCCAAAAATACTTATTTTTAAAAAGAATTTTATTTTTAGAAAAATATATTTATTATTATTATTTTATTATTGAGTAATAACTAATTCCCATTCTCTACAATTTTGGTCATCATATCTTCTATCTTGGTATACATTCATATATATTACCTCAAGGGATAACTTGATTATGTGATCAATAATTTGAGCCTCATCAAGATTCAAAAGTAAGTATTAAAGATATCCTAGAAGGGCCATAAGATCTTAGAATTATCTTTCTAATTGCATCTAAGGTGCTGCAACTTATTTGAGACATGTGCACCCAAATTCCCACTTGTGGTTTCTTCTAATAAAATTACTTTTTTTTGCAAATTGAACTTTACCATGGAATTTTAGAACACATAATTAGCCATATAACATCAAGATACCTTCAAATCTTATTCTAATTCTTCATATTGGCCTCTAAAAGTGATAAAATTATGTTTTAAAAAAATATATTTTAAATATGCTAAAACTTTATGATAAGATTTAAATAAATATTATAAAATATTTAATTTTTTGAAGATGCTAATATCAAATTAATTCTATATAACATATAGATTTTTTTACATGCTTCTTCAACCCACTAAATATCATTTATAAATTTTTAATACATAATAAAACATATAAAAGATCATTTTAGACATTGGATTGAAGGACTAGACTCAACTTAGCACAAAGAAGAGAAAATACTAAATCAACTAGAATAATTGCTTTAAAAAATATATATTTATATATTGTTTATAATTATTTATTCAATGAGATTCTTATAACTGATAAAACCTATACATCCTAAACAATACATAGAAAAATATAGAAAAATATTTACGTAGAAGATGGTCTCTGTTAATATAAGTAAAGAATTTATCTTCAAGCTTGAAATATGGATGCGAAATTTCAGAAAGGGGCTGAGCTAACAAAAACTCGCAAGACTACCGGCAAAGGAAGCGATTGTCTTGTAGAGCCCCAACACTGAAATAACCGGAGACATTTTCTCTATATGCATACTTTGTCACATTGAGAAGAGTGTTACACACATGTTGAATTGAATCTTGAAATGCATTTTTAATTGATTTAGAAATATACAACCATAGATCAGTAATATGACATTACCTGCATATCGGAATACATGAGTCGTTCAATCATCTGCATTACTTGGAACAATCCAGGTCCAATCCATTTTCTCAGCTACGTTGGTGAAGTTAAGAAATACCCACGAAGAAAGGTTGTATTTAAAAATCGTAATTTTGATATCAATACTGTGTTCTGCTTCTACACAAAAATTATATTTTTTGTTTTTCTGTTTGAACAACGGCTGTAATTCTAAATTAGATTTTTCCACTGACAAATACAGTGCAATTGGATGAATAGAATTGAGGTCACCACACAGAAAAATCGCTTCCCTTCCGACCATCACAATACTGACCAACATCGAACCACAAGACGCGGTTGGAGATTTTTCAACATACAACTAACACCGATGAAACAAATCACAGGATGGGGCGATAAATTCAACGATACCTTACAATCTTCAACGATATAAAATCAACAAAACTTTACATCGCCATTCATGTCCAAGACCTTTGGCTTTTCAGCCACATTGCTCGCAATCCTATAGATGTCTATCATTGCAAGCATTAAAGCAGCAGAGATTCTTTGCCGCACGCTTCTGTACTCTGCTGGTTGGTTGTTTACGCAAAGTGAGCAGCAGGCGTTGCAGATTCAGCTCTCGCTGGATGGGTCTAGCTGCCTCCATTAAAAAGTTTGCCTGCACAACACAACCAAGATTGATAAGCCAGTCACGGCCTCCACTTATCTTTGCGGCGGTGATGGAGCTGAAAATAGAATCATGCAACATCACTCTGGAAAAAGCACCACGTAGAAGCAAATTATCGCTGCGGAGGAAAACGCTCTGGAAGCTAAGTTTCAGTTGTGACCGTAGTGGTGATTCAATAGAAGCGAAAAGCTGCAAGCAGCATTTGCATTTGGAGATTGCAGAAGAGTATGCAAAGAGCAAAGTAAGTTAAGAGTGGCCCACTTACCAGCACACGTTTGGCCCTTCTTGTATTGGCCGCTTAGTCCACATTTATTGGGGGTGTCAATAGCCAAGTTCAGCTCATTTCCAGCTAAGGGTCCGTTGAAAAGCTTCACTCCTCGGATGGCCTCGCAGTACTGCTTCAAGCTTGCTTTGGGGTTGAGTAGCTTGAAGTTGTCCTGGATCTCAATGCAGCAAATTTTCAAAGGTACTGCCCGAGATTCAAGTACATAGGATGCGCAGTTCAAAGGGAACTGGGGTGAGCAGGGCTCACCATCACCAACACCACAAGAAAACCAAGCAGTGCAGTCATCGTTGCCATCAACGTAGTCGTTGTTGAAAGATGTTGAGTTACGTTAAAAGCTAGTAGAAAAACAAGAACTACAATTGGGAAGAGAGGACTGCCTGAGATGCTAATTTATACGGCAGATGCATTCCGATGTCTATCCACGTAACGACTCTCTAGCGGCATTGTCACCACGTGGTTGCTGGAGTGAACATAAGTCGAGGTTGCGAGATGGGTCAGCTGCTGCTGACCCACCTCGCAACCTTGACTTATGTTCACTCCTGACCTTGACCATCTTCTACAACTCTTGGCTCCTTCATGAGGGCCTTAAATTTGGTCCGCTGCAAGGAGTGAGGACCTTTCTCCATACAATGTCATATTCCAGGTCTTGTTGTTTGTACCAAGAACCTCTTGTTTACCTGAGTTAGAAGAGTCGAAAGATGTGCCTACAATCACACTCATATCTTCTCTTGGATGCATTTCTTATTGTGTAACAGGAGTCTCGTATTCAAAAATTAAAAAACATTTAAATTTTTGATGATATTTTTGGTTTGCTAGAAATGAGCTTTTAATGTTTGGTTGTTTCAATAGATCTAAGGAAATGCAACTGGTATCAAGTTTAACACTCACTGGTACCAAAATTGGTACCTTTGCTCATACAATGCATCCAATTATTGTCATGTATAATAGATAAAATTTTCTTCCTGATTTTCTTGATCTTACAATCTAGTTGATGTTTTGCAAGTACTTTTAAGACTTCAAACTTTACGAAACACTGTTTTTTTTTTTTTTTTTTTTTTTTTTTGCTTTAAATTGATAAGGAATTATTAAAATTAAGATTGGTATCTGAAACTGAAAAATTTAAATTAGTAAACATTTGGTCCAGTAAATTTATTGCTCATTCCAAAATCAATTGCTTCAGTTTAGTTCAGACTCAATTGTAGCTTAGATATTGTCGATTAACTTTCAAACTCAACAATATGGCTTCCCTCCCATCAAATAAATAAGACATATCTAGTCAACACACCACAAAGTTACAGTATACATAATATTTAAGAAACTGAAATTCACCGAAATCAATCAACTTCACCTATTCAAAGAAACAATCAAACAGATTTCATGGCTTCAGGTTTTTTTTCAATTTCTTGCATTTTAACTCAAACCATTTTCTACAAGAACCCTGAAAAACCACCTAATTTATCCATCCAATTGCACGCGCTCTTCGTGCAGAATGCAGTTACCACCCTCAAATTTCAATCCGTTGATACAAATTCTCATTCATTTAGTTTGTCCGTCTGTCAGTCAGCACCCCATCTTGCCTCGGAAACAACGGAAATCCATCTCGAACTTTCAATATTTTGAAATTGGCTGCATGATAACGCTATCCTCCAGTTTCGCCCGGCGTCTGAAAGTAGTTGTTCGATTCCGAAAGACTACCCACCTCGCAATCACGACTTCTGAAGAAATAGGGCGAAGAAAATCGGCGGCGATGATTCGTTATATGACGGGAGTCACCGACAGATTATCTCTCTCACGCCGAAATCTGTGAAAATCGAGCAATCGAAACTGGGAGATTGTACACAGGGTCGAAGAGATCCATTCTTTAGCCGCTGATCTGCTCCAGGACGAATCGCGGATTGTGAAAGGTCGGGTGGAACGTGAAGGTGGTGTGTCGCTCGATCAAGTCGGCCGAGGGCACTAGGGGACAAGTCGGGAGCCAATTCCAGTTGTGCTCGCCATCGTCGTAAACTGCGACGATCAGGTTTCGATTCGAAGCATTGCCGGTCACACACAGTTGCTTGCCGGAAGCCAGGCAACCGCCGATGTAGGCAAAGTCCATGTAAACCAGTTCGGGCAGATGAGTGAGGATCGTCCACTCCCTGGTGTTGAAGTCGAGGTGAAAGATGGCGCAGCTCGCGTTGCGAGCTGGGGGTCCACTCAACAAGTGCATCAACGTAAGCAGGTTTCCGTTGTAGTCGAAGAGATAGGGGGTGCAATACGTGTTTTGGGGGATGATGTGATCGATTTCACTCCATTTGTCTTCGTCAACGTCGTACTTCAGCAGGATGTCATACATCGTCATGGGTCTGCTCGCGAAATAGTACACTGCTCCGTTGCAAACTGCGCCATTGGAGAAAGGAAACATGAGGTTGGGCAAGAGTTTCCCGCCTTGAACCCAAACTCCTTTGGCAGAGTCGAAGATTTCCGTTGCGGAGTACCGCTCATCCTGGGGAGGGTAATTTTGGTTGCCAGACAGGATCAGTTTGTATGAATTTGTGTTGTCATAGTGGACCATGATCCGGACGAGGGGGAAAGACCACAAGCTGAGAAATTTGGGTAATTGTTGCTCATGGTTTGTCAAAGGGTTCCAAATTGTAAGGCTTTTCATGACGTCTATGGTGCCAACTTCTAAAAGACAGAGGAGACCACGACTGGCAACGTATATTTCCCTATTCTTCATCCTTTCATCCTCGAACCTGGCGTGGAAGTTCGGCATGACCTGCCATTTTCCTTCTGCAGTGTCAAAAACTGCCCACCGAAAACCCAACCGGTTGTAGACGTAGCAGACGGCAGGGTGCGGTGCCAGCACCGGAGCTTTCACCTCCAAGCAGATTTTGTTGAAATCTGGACACTGTGTCAAGTTCGACCAACGCTTGCAAACAACTCGCATTTGAAACAACCTTCGAAGTGGTAAGAAAGAGAGCACCCTCATCATGATGTCGTCAGGAATTTCAGGCCACATTATGTCATTCATGATCGAATCCCCTGATTTTGTCAATGTAAGTTCGTCGGGTGTTAATTGAACCCATAAGTTTGCACTCAGAAATGTACTCCCTGCTCCTACCTCGGCTGCGGCGTCGTCGTTGTTTACAGTGTCATTTTCTTCTTCAAGGTTTCCTATTTGTGTGTCGGTGATATCTTCTTCCATGCCTCAGTGGTCACCGACCAACAGTTGAGAGCACTGACCCGAGTCGACGTTGGTAAGGATATTCATTCAGTATCCAAAAATGTATGTAGAATTAAAAAAACTAACCTCCCGCAACTGTTGTAGCCTAAAATCATGAACTGATAGATCCCAAATCCGACAGATCAATCGATAGAAGTTAAATATTCAAGCAACCAGTAATAGAAACACGCGAGGCTGTTAGCATCAAAGAATTCCTTGACCTGAAAAACATGCCCAGTGTCATGTGCAGTCAAAGAGACCGAAGATGTATAATTTCTGATTCAAACAGCTTCGTATTCAACGAAGCTTGCCGAGTAGGGCAAGGCAAGGATCAAGAAACTTACCCACAAAAGGTGGTGAAGCGCTTGAAAGAGTTCACAGCAACTAAATCATCTCAAATTACGACCACTGGCATCCAGACATGGAGGTAGCGCCTGAATTCTTCATGCACGAGTTCAAACTTTCCTCTTCTAACCCACTAACCTCTTTTACCTACCAACGAGCTTTTGATCCACTGAAAAAGCCTTCTCCATCGTCGCACATAGAGCCGCTGCCGGCGCCAAAAAGCAGAGAAGTATATGATTTGGTGGAGAGGGAAATCAGAAGCTGTGACAAGGCGCAACAAATCATGCAGTTCATGTCAGAAGAAAACCTCATTGAGGCCCATCCAACCTGCGGCATCCATAGAAACAGAAAATCATAACAAAAACTCCGCGGCCTCTCGTTCAGGTAATGTGAGGGACAATGACCACATTGAGCTCTGCTTGCACGAGGTCCTCGTCAACATGGATCTCCGGTTCCAGGAACCACAGAGCAACCAGTTACATGAATAAGCTCCAGGCACATATCACCTCATTCTGATCAGAAACCCTAAACCAATAAAGCATCCTTGACACTACCAATGCAATGAAACATGCAACCTAAAGCAGTGTCCAGCAGGCTGCATAGATCTACATCGTGCACCATTGACGTTGGATTGAAACCAGATTCTTACATGAAAACAGTTATGAACAATGCTTTCATATCCATCACTGCTATTACAGGCTACACTGGATTTGCTTGATGATTCGACGGGATTGTTGAGCTACTACGAAGGCGAGGCTTGCCAAGCAGTGACGAAGCAACAGCCACGATTAGATAGTTGCGACTGTTGGAATACAACAGGTCATGTGTAGCCATCAAATCCTAATTGAGGATATGGCGATGGATATTAGAGTGTAAGGTTAGGGTTTGGGGGCTAGACATGCATATTCAAGATGTGGGTTCAGGATTCAAGGGGAAAAAGGAAAGTTTTTTTTTTCTCTTACTTGAAGTGTAAGTTTTTGGTGCAGAGGTGTTAATTGAGTGGGCATTACCGACAGATGAATTTTTTGCAGGGTTATGAAATAGTAGAAACTAAATTGGATTGAACTTGAAAAAGGAAAAATAATATATAAATTATTGGATTTGGATGTTTAATATTAAATTAGTGTCACAAGAAATTTAAAATTAATTATAAAATTAAGTTTTAAGATCCATAAAAATAGAACTCCACACTATGTGACTTATTTCCATCAAACATTAGAGATTTTGAAAAGGAGTTTTCTAACTTCATGTTACAAGTTACTATTCTCTTTAATGATATTTTGAATATTACCAAAATAGTTTTCCTCCTACATCTATAATCTAATATTTTTCACAATTCTTTAAACTCATGTACATTTTTCTCTACAATTTATCCTACTGTACACAGCAGCAAAAAAAAAAAAAAAAAAAAAAAAAAAACTATAAATTACATATATACATTACAAATCCACAAAATACACTAATAGAACTGAACAATACATTGAAACATATTTTAGAAAAATTAAATTTAGCACACATAAAATTAAAATTGTGTGTCCTTTACAACACAATTAATTTTTTTTGGACCGCGGTCATAAGCCCTTAAGTCAGGATCTAGTTTGTCCCTGAATTAAACGGTCATGGGTCAGTTATACGGTAATAAGCGGTTCTCACGGTCAAGGGTCAACTAAACGGTAATAAGTGGGTCGCACGGTCATGTGGTCAGTTATACGGTAATAAGTAAATGGAACGGTCAAGGGTCGATAGCACGGTAACAGGAGGTGAGCACAGTCTCGACTCCTCTTCCTGAGCTTCCAGGTTGTGTGTCCCGAGGCGGCGATGGCGTGCAGCGTTCAGGTCGATCGCATGGATTTCGCGACTCACAACGAAGAAACGCAACACCCACATGGTCGAAAATCGTCGGGAGCTTCTCATTATGCACGCCAAGCCACGGGAAGATCTCGAATGGCTCGTCACTGTTTCCTCTGCCCCCTTGTCTATCAGCATTTGTTCCATGCCGCGGTTGTGTTTGTCGAGACGATCTCTCGGGATTCTGGGCGAACGTCTCGTTGTCTTCTGGTTCCGGTCTATTGCAATGATACCTGCCGATATTCACCTCGACATCGCCTGGAAGCATCTGATACGCGGGGCTAAGTAGGGTCTTTGGTATGTTAGGTCCCTGGAATTGTAGAGTTTCGGTGTTTGTGGGTGGATTCTGAGATCTCGTTGAAGCATCTTTACTTCTGGATGATAACGTGGGTTGTCGCCTCATTTGAAAGGCTCGACTAGGTGTTCAATCACAGCACAGTTCATATTCCCAGGTTCTACTACAACAGATTACATTTTCGGTTCTAGTTTTCACGCCCGATTTCACGAGTGTGTTGGTGGTCGGTGTCGAACCTCAGACAAATTGATGCTGCACACTCCAACAATATTCAGGCACAACAATCCAAAGCTACACAGCTTCGTGAAAGAAAACTCATGAAATTTGCCTCGGTGATCGCCGGTGCCTGGAATTCAAACATAGAAAATATCAACGCACGCAACCTTTGGGAGACTCTACAGCTGCAGGGTTCAATTAAGACTAAACTAAGAGTGTACAGTGATGAGACATCAAGTGACATGGCCTTCATTCAGAGATAGAACAGAACACCACAGCAAATTCTTGCTGTAGCATGAACAAAAGGAAATCACCTCAAAATAGTTCACTATATTGAAAATTCTGTGTGCCACATGTATTTTGACTCAAGCGGGACAATTTATGAAAACATGTGTCCAAAAACTTTTCAGCAAATAAAGGCCTCTAGACAGATAGTCGACTTTTACACAGACGGCAGTAGTCAGATCTTACGTGCTTTTCGATGATAGACGACAGTGTAGACAAACAAGGAAGCCTTTGTTCTGAAGACCAATTGCTTGCAGAAGGAATGAGTTGCACCTTCATTTAAGAATGCGGTACCCAACTAAAAAAGCTTAAATCTCCTCGTCTGCCGTCGCACAGTCGTACTTCCTGAGAAGTAGACGTCAAAATGGCCGGGGAACAAGGATAAAATAAAATGCACTAACTAAACAGATGCAGAAACACGAGGGAATCTACAACTGATTAGGTTTCAAGTATACGCAGACATGCCCACAGATGGACCACCTTGGTACGACTGCCACGCCTCTGGACTACTTTGAGCCCTAGAGATTAGGACATAGTAAATCTCAGTCAAAAGCATGGTAATGAAAATGAAAGCAGATGCCGCAGCAAACAGGCTCTTCTGCACTTGCCTGCAAGTGACATTAGGCCCGTTTGTTGAAAATAAGCCCTTAGTTTGAATTTTGTTCTGGCTTGCGCCAGCAATAAGAGATGCAATGGCAACTAGGAATGACAACCTGCACACAACGTCGAGTGGTTCACGATAGTTTCGCACGCAAATCACTAATAATTGTGCTGAATGGCTTTCTCTTTCACTATTGGAACATTCTTTCAGTGATTCTTACCATATGCAAAATTAAGTGACTTGAAGAACTCGTCGGAGCAGATTAGCTTACCAGGAGAAGATGAAAACTAAGATGGCAAATGTTCGGGAACCTCCGGGCTTGTAGCCGTTTCCGCAACAGAGGCAGCGAGTGACAATCATAACAAATATCTGGGCTATCAAAAAGAAAATAAAGGCGCCCGCGGCTAATCCTGTAGCAATGTCTGAGGTATAGTGGCACTTTAAGGTCCCCATCTCTTGATTCACAACTGTGAGATCTCCCTGCGAATAGATAGAGCCTACGTTGCATTACAGTCCTGAGAGATATCCAAGAGGAAAAGGAGGACCACCATCTTCACCTAAACTGTAGCAAAAGAGAGGATGTTCGTCGAGAATACACGTAAGAATAAGTATAAAAGGATGCTAACCTTGCTTCTTTTTTCCATGGCTCCGAGGGCGAGACCAAAAGCGACGAGGTAGAGCACGGCGCTGATACAGATCACCAAGAAGGAAGCAGAACCCATTTTGATTCAAATTTTGGTCCCGCGCTGCAAATTCCTTCAACCACAACTTGCATCGACAAATACACGCATCAAAATATCGTCACTCGAAATACATCACCGGTGAAGACGCTAAGATGCAGGCTCCAGAATACATTATCTAGACGATCAAAGACGGAAACGAAGAAGAAGCTAAACTCTCCGCTCATTCTTAAACCTCCAGCGAGCAACGAAGCCTCCAGCCTTGCTACAAATTTACGATTATTGTCACCCCAAGAGACCCAACTGTTTTTCTACCGCAATTTCTCCTCCATGCGCGACATACTCGCCAACTCCACGCTCAGGACAGGTTCAAGAATTGCGAACATTGCCACCTTTCTTGCAGCAACCACGGAACTCCCACAAACACTTTCAATCTCTACCAAACACATCACCTCCAACAGAAACGTCTATGCTTGCCACAAAACTACAGTACCCATGTCAAAAACACACACACACACACACACACTAGATTCGAATACAGCTGATTACTGGTGGAAGTTACCCTACATAGCTGCAAGGCCACCAACCTGCAAGAGTCCACAGTTTCCAAATCTAGTCGAAACAGGAGTAATTCGAGCACTAGCAACTGCGAGCAACAGAGGGCTGGAAACTGCAAGAGACTTAAGAGCATGGTTTGAATGCATACCAGTAGTAGCAGCAGATGTGGGAAGCGGCACAACTTCGAAGCAGTCCGAGCTATGGCGAAAGAGATGGTGGCGTCCTGAAGCATGAATCAGTTCTCATATGCACTGTGTACGAGAGTGTGTGTGTCCGTCAGAAGACCAGAGAGCTGCCGGCGCATGGCAGGTCTTCAAATTCCGGTCGTCACCATCGCCTCGGTCCGTGATTTCTGTCCAATCTTAAATACTGCCCACGAATCGTGTGACGGCTAACTACTCCCATCATGACCTTCAGCGTCTTATTGCTTTCACAAACTTAGCGAGGGTAGCATTTCTTCATGCTCCACAAGGCAAGCTCAGCGGGAAGTCTTAATGAAGATTAATAATTGTTCTTGACTTGTTCTAAACAACCAATTGCTTGTAAGTTTCTCTGTGACTGGTGAAGATCGAGAGGACTTTTGTGATGACTCAAGTTGCGCAACTTGATTAACTGATACAATGCCTATGATCTAATTCAACAAAAACAAAGTCTAGAACATCCTGTTAATATTGTTGGAATAAGTTTTAGAGAATTGCAGTAATTTTGGGTGCGTTGAAAATTGAAATTCTCACAATATGAAACCTGGTGTCGTCTCTAAATTGGTAGAATAAAACCAAATTTACACAATTACTACATGCACACAGTTACTAAGCCTGCATGTGAAAATCCATGTCATGAAAAATTTCACACACGAGAGAATACCAACGTTACTGCATACAACATACGACAGAAGGCAACGATTTGCCATTTGATGGGTATTCAATGAGTGGAATTGAAGGATCATCCAATGCTGGGAAAAAATCATCAATCAGCTCTCGTTCCGCATCAAAAATGAAACTTTTACATCCTGCCCACCCAGATTGTGCAGTGCAGGCACCAGGTTTATACTCACAGTGCTGCCTTCTGGATGTTCCTCACACAATGAGTATCAGCTTCGAAGGTAAAAGCATGCGCTGAAGTTACATTCGGGTTAGAATCAAGGTCAAGAAAGGTCGAGCGATGTCCACAAACAAGAATGTGACGAAAGCGCACTCTACTAACTCTCCACTTTACTGCTTGCAATCTTCGGCATTCACAGAAGAAGCCGCGCTGCTTTTCACTGAAGATTTTACAATCGAGCTAACTGAACGCGAAATTCCCCTCCTGATTTTGTGATTAAAGTACAAAATCAATCTACTATTTCAAATCTTCCGAACACGCTCCCAAAAACCACGCAGAACTCGATTCGATAAAATTCCACCACTTCACCACTCAGGGGGAGAAGTTAGATATCTTTTCACCGAACCGTTTGTGGCATCTGCTTCCCTAGGTTTGACCTAATTCACCCCTCACCTGAACAATCCAAGTAAGTCCTCTTCAAAACTTAAAGCTTTGCAAATTTGATGCCCTCGTTGTGATATTTTGAGCTTGACCGATGTTCAAAACTTAAAGCTTCCTTCAGAGCAGCCCTAATCAGCATCTTGTCTTCGTGGTCATTATCACAAGCTTGGTGATTAACCTTGATAACTGGTTGGATTAAGATGAAAACCCATATTTTGAAAATTAAGGATTATATGAGATGAAGAAGTTGTTTAGTTATTTTTTTCTTCACAGAAGTGATATAAAAAGTCAATAAGTTTTCTACAATTATGGAATTTTGAATATTTTTTTTGTCAAGGATTACAAAATTGATTGTTATAATAAATAATACTTGGAAAATGACATAAAAACCAAGTTCTAATGAGATAGTTTGAGACCCTTTCTAATGTTTTTTTTTGGTGGTCATGGTAATAGAGATGTATATAGTTTAGGTAGAGCAGAAAAAGATCAATAAATAAATAAATAAAATAAATTTTGAGGCAACTTTTCTACAAATAAATACAAAAATTTGATTCAAAAAAGTTAATTGATTGCCAAAAGACAAGTTTCAAGATCACAAGTCTAATTTGCATTACACCAACCAACTTAAGCATAAAAGGTGAGTTGGTGAAGAATCGTTGCTATGAAGTTTAAGACCTCATGTAGAAGTGATATATTAATTTAACTCCAAATTAATAAATTGAAGTAAGATTGGCTATAGATTGGTCAAAACCGTTAATAAAATATATAGTATTCTATTCTATGTTTGTGATTAAATATTAAATGCTACCAATAACATATAAACGTAGTATTTGATCTATGCACCAAAAATCATTTGAAGTGAAATTTTTACTTTATTCACATAAATATTTGTTGTCAATCTTAAAATAGATACTAATTAAACTATATTAAAGCATGTTAATTTTTTTTAAAATTAAAAGCATATCTATCTTAAAATATTATAAATTTTTTAGTCTTAGATATATACCATATTTTTATGCTTCATAAGCACAAAATGTATTTTTTATTAAATATAAAGAAGCAAGTACGAAATAATATTTTATTAGTATTTGAGTATAAGAGGTTATTAGTTTTAAGGACTAAATCATCAATATATAATTTAAATAAAAGCTATAGGAATAACAATATTTGAAATGGAAATTAATAATGAAAACATATTTAATATATATAATTTAGGCAAATAATTTGAGATTATAAAGAAGATTTCTAAAATTAATAAATAGTGGTTTTATTATAAAATAAATAGTTTCTTTATTTAAAACATACATTTTTTTTCTCAAAGAGTTGTTTAAGAAGGTAGTAGTGACATTCATGTGGTAAATATGATATTCTTGAATTATAGCAATAATATTAAAAAGACATTATTAAGTCAATTTAATAACCAAAAAATAAGTATAAAAATAATTTAGAACTTTAAATCATAAAAATTCATAATTAAGAAAGTAAATCTTAAAGAAGATAAATATAACCTACTAATTTTTTATTTTTTTCTAAAAACACATCTATTTAACATATATTATAAAAAAATTTAGAAGAAGATTGTTTGACTTATATTTTTTATTTATTAAGAGAGATTGATTAAATTTTTTATTGTTATTTTCTAATATAAAAAATCAAAGTAAAAAATAGTAATAACCTAGGTTTAATAACCTAAATTATGTAAGTATATTTATAGAAGTTTTTAATATAAAATATAGTCTATTTTATACTCTACAAGGAAATTATTTAAAAAATGGGCAATAAAGAGAAGCCTTGTTTTTTTGTTAAAATACAAGGGCATATAAAAATATAGCATAGATAGAGATTTTTAAAATTAATAATAAAGTAATGAAGAGAAGTACCTAAAATCAAAGATAGATTGGAGGTGCTTGAAATTAGAAGTATAGACAGTAAGAAAAGAAAATAATATAACAAAAATAAAGTAAAAGTTACAAAAGAAAATTAGATTAAATAATAAAGCAAGAAATAAGTTGCGTTGACATAAATGTTCAACATATTTAAGAATTTGATCAAAAAATTTTGAAGGTAAAAACTTGTTGATGTCACAAGTATAAAGAGTTGCAAAAAAAGTATGATAAAAGAAAAATATCTTTGGAAGACATAATATTCCAACTCAAAATTATGTATTGTACATTTGGATTAAATAATTTATTTTTTAATATCTTAAGGTTTACCTTAGTTAAAAAATATACACTTAAAAGTTTTATCATTAATTTTAATATTTTTAAAATTAGAAATAAAAAATAAGTTATAAAAATTAATTTTTAAAAATTAATATTTAAAACAAAAGTTATTTTTGTTAAGGACATCCAACAAGAAGATCTTGAAAATATTTTCAAACTATTCTATTAGATTCTAAAAGGTTCAAAAATATTCTAAGAATATTCTAATGAGAGGTTTTAAAAGATTTTAAAATATTCTAATAGAAGATTTTAGAAAGATTCTTAAAATATTTTAAATGATTTTAGAAGCTTCTTAAAATATTCCAATAAATTCTAGAAAGTTCTAAGAAGATTAAAGAAGTTATCCAAGAAGCTTTTTAGGATTGCTTCATCTTTAAGCAACATGCAAACTTCTTCAGAAGCTTCTTAATATCTAGTATATTTGGGAGTCAAGGTTGAAGGAATTCTTAGTCTCAACAACACATCTTTTGGAGTTCTAACTCACTTCTTTTGGTGTTGATCTTGCACTCATCTAGTTTAATTAAGTACTTGCTAGCTTTTTTATTGAAACTTTTTTATTCAACTTCTTATTTGGTCTATTGTATAATGATAGTTTGTTAAGATTGCCTTCTTATCAATACTAGAACTTGATCTTTCTTCATAGAGAATGAATTATCCCTCTTTTTGAAGGCATCTAAGTGCTTTAGAGCTTGTGGAGTATCTTCCTGTAAATTATTATTATTTAGAAACTTTCTTTTTATCTTTTAGGATGGCTTGAGGTGAAGATGTTAATATAATTGAATCTTCTAGTTCTAAGTTAGATATTATTATGAATATGTTAAATACTTTATTTCATAAAACTAGTGAAATTGAAAAAAAATTGTAAGATTTCATGGTGATGTAAGACTTAGAGCAATTCAACCTATGATGCAACTACTTTCTTAAACTTATACATCCAAAGAGGTGGTGGTAGCTGTACTTCAACAAGAAAATTCACCTATTCAACAACATATAGAATCTTGAATTAGTCTTTTAGAAAAGCTTGATGACAAAAGCTCCAAGTTTCAAAGGTTTTTTTAACCAAAGTAGATTGGTAACTTTTTTACAAATTTATCAATATTCAAGATAGAAGTCATAAGTTGGTTTAGTTAGAACCTTGCTTACAAGACAAGCCTTATCTTGTTTTGCTTCTTATTTGAAAAAATCTCCAATCTTCACTAACTTTGAAGTTTTTTTAAAAGTATTTGTAAAAGCATTTGTAAAAGCATTTGGAGAACATGACAAGGCCAAATGGATGATAATAAAGATTTTTTCATTATGTCAAAGACCATATTCTTCATCAATTTATGTATCTAATTTTAAGAAATTAGCTTATGACATCAATTAGAATGAATAAGCTCTTATAAATCAATTCTATTAAGGATTTAAGGAATAATATAAAAGACCTATTATTATAATTACTTGATCTTCAAATACTTAATGAATCTATCAACTAAGTTATGAAGTGTAATAATGGATTATTTCAATGTCATCTAAATTAATATTCGTAGATTTTAATAGAGCAAGGTACTAAAAATTCATATTCTTTTGCTTCAACAAATAGATTATTTCTACATTTAAGAGCTAAGAATATATAAATTGATATGATACAATTCAAATCTCTCACAATATAAGAAAAGAAGAATCAAT